TTTAGGGTTTAGGGTTGGGGGGTTTTGGTATCACAGAAACGACATCGTGGGTTCCTCCAACTATAGACCCTCGGCAGCCACATCCTTTCTGCCTGCTAGGGATTGACAGGGTGTAGGTAGAAATCTCTCTCGCATCATGCAGGATGTAGGCGTGGTGTGGAAGATAGTATAGGGGCCTAAATCATTACCAATACTATTTTGGGGTGTTCCTTATTATCTTTATAGTCTAGGATACCCCAGAACCTATTCTAATTGTTAAGGCCCCTAAACCCCAAACCCTTCCTGTAGCCCTTGTAGAACCCTTAAAGGAACCCCAAAACCCTATGCTAATTATTATGTAGAGCCCTTTAAAAAACCCAAAACCTTATGCGAATTATTATGTAGAGCCCTTCAAGGAACCACAAAACCTTATGCGAATTATTATGTAGAGCCCTTAAAGGAACCCCAAAACCCTATGCTGATTAATAAGGCCCCTACATGAGCTCGGATCGCGAGGTGGCTGGCCCCTCGACCGTGCGCTGGTTCGTGAGCCACTTTTGGGGAGCCGTGTCTGCACCTGGGTTTAGGGTTTAGGGTTTAGGGCTTCAGGGTTTAGGGTTTAGAGTTTAGGGTGGTAAGAGGCTCCATAGCTTCTCCCGGAAGTCTTCCGTTTGGGGTGTAATGTAGCGGCCCTAATAACTAGAATAGGATTTTCGGGTATATTCTACTATAATCATAACAAGGACCCCCAAAATAGCATAGGTACTGATTTAGGCCCCCTATAGCAGGGTTGACGGGCGTCCGGAACTCAAGCCCTACGGCTATGGCCCCAGAACGCTGCAGCGGCCCTGCTAAGCCCCCAAGCCTTCAAGCGCGGACCCGAAAAGGGTTTAGGGTTTAGGGTTTAGGGTTTAGGGTTTAAGTCGGTGGCCGACTTTCCCAGCTGGTGATCAGAGCCTGGGTTCAAAAAATAAGGGTTAAAGTCGAAACAAGACCAAAAGAAAGCCAAGCCCCCAACCTTAAACACCCGAAGCCCTAAAGCCAAAGACCCCCCCCAGGCCTAAACGAACCCCGAGCCGGTAAGGGTTTAGGGCTTGCGGTTTGGGATTTGGGGATCAGGATTCCGGGTTTTGGGTCAGGGTTTGAGTAGAATCAGGGTGATATGGGGGCCTTGATAATTAGAAAGGGGTTTTGGGGTATATTATACTATGATTATGCAAGGAGCCCCCAAAACCCTATCCTAATCATTAAGGCCCCTACATTAAAGTGTCAAGATTGAGGGTTTGCAGGCTCTGGGCCTGGGCTTTGGGCATCGTTCAATTGGGGCTGAGCAGAAGGGCTTTCTTGAGTGATTCTGCGACTCAGGTACTCCCTTCTTGCATCTGGTCAGTACTGCAACTTGGCAGTGGTTATATCAATATTTTGAGATCTTCTGTACTCCATAGGTTCTTTGAGTATATGGTAGTATATGGAAGTATACTGTGTGTATGTTTGTAGGATACGATTTGTAGAATATCATGGTTCGCTTGGCCCAACTCTCCGGCTTCAATAACCCCAACAGGGCAAGGCGAGTATGTGGGTAGTTGTCAAAATTATGGTCCCTTTTTGGGTACCCTAAATAATAGGTGCCGTATTATGATAAGGACCCCAAAAGGGACCATAATTTTGACAACCACCCATGTATCATCTATGCTGCAGAAGTTATGAGGTCACGAAGCATGCGGAAGAGGCCGCCAGCGAGGATCCATCCTGGGTGCCTCGAGTGAGCAGCAGCGATCTCTTAGGGTTTTGATGCGCCTTTGCCTTAGGTTACATTATTAGAGTACAAAATACTGCATTATCCCAAAACTAGCATAATCTGGTATGCTGTGGTATACCCTAGAATGTCATGGTATATGGTCCATTGTTTTCATAATTTTGGAGGTCCTGGGGATCCGGAAATAGGGCAGGAATTATATCGGTTTCGGCTTCTTGTTGCTAAAGGGGTGTTTCGGGGAGGCCGACAGGCGTTGGAGCACGGTTATTTTTCAGCTGAGACTTGAAATAAGGGCTGAAGATTGGATTGGGCTTTCAAACAGGGGTCGGAACGACTTTATAAAATAAAAGTGATAATACCCAAAATTTTATGTCGCTCCAATTATAGAATAGTACAATTTACCCCCAACTCCAAAACCCTATTCTTATTGTTGAGGCCCGTTCTTACAAAGAGTGTTTAGTTTAGTCGTCGCCCCAAACTCTAGCCCGAAACACGAAACGGGGGTTGAAAGAACACACCTTTTTGAAGGAAGGAAAATCGCCGGTGAAAAGCCGAGGCCTTGGGCGAGAAATCCAGCACACCCCTGGCAGTATGCACTGACTTCAAAGCCGCCCAGGTGTCGCCGGCCTACAGTCAGTCCTACTGGACCCGGGGCTCTTCTCCTAAAGTGCAGTACACTTTCCCCACACTCGCAGCAGACACGTGCATGCATAGCACAAGTAACTAGTAGTACACACACACACACATATATATATATATATATTGCATATATGGACATATACGTGTACATGTTCATGTACGTTCACATGCAAACATATAGACGAGTTTCTGTATATATATATATATATGTACAGGTTGTGTATTATTAACACAAGATATACAACACACACATATATATATATATATACACATGATATACCGTGCTATAATACATTATAGTGTAAAAACATAGTGGAGGAAATATCAACATAACGTAATGTAAAATAGTATAGTATAGTATAGTACAGTATAGTATAGAATAGCATAGGATAGCATAGCCTAGTCTAGCCTAGCATAGCTAGTCTAGTCTAGTCTAGTCTAGTATAGTATATTACAGTATAGTATAGTATCGTATAGT